AGAAGCTACAAGTAGTGCAGTGGGCCTTTAATGGAATATGATATTAAAAATTATAAGGGTTATTCATACTGCGTTGGGGGTAGAGTTATTTATTTTTTTAATATTGATAAGAAGCATATTGCCTACAGTATTCTCTTTTTACGACACAAAGACCTTTTTCATATTAACCAATTGCCTATGGGAATTGGATGGCTCCTGTATTAAGCCTATGGGAATGAGAGAATTCAGGAGTCAACAGGTTAACTTTCAGAGATGTGTTACACTTTTCATTCTAAGCAATATACATGTACATAAATAATTCAGTGACTTTCACAACCACAACCACATCAATCTGGTAAGTGCTACCTTTGAAATGGAGGAAGCCTTTCCTGGAGAAAGCCACACTTATTAGTAGGCCTGTCTTCATTAGCTCGAGTTTGCCAAATAGCCTTCTATTTCTGATTCGGGAAATTAGCCCGAAGTTACAAATTGCATCTTCATGAGTTGGAAACTCGAGCTCGAAAAATTAGCTCGAGAAATTTGCTCAGTGTCTTCGGGCTGGAAGACGCACTGGACAAATAGCGGGCTATTTTGCAAACTAGCGCAAGATATCTTGGGAAGATTCCCCGAGCAAATAGCCCGCTATGTGCGTCTTCACCTGCCAAATATCCCGCTATTTCGTGATCGGGCTTATTTCCTGAATAAAAAATAGCAGGCTATTTGGCAAACTTGAGCTGATGAAGACAGGCCTATTGACCATTTTTTCTTTCACATGAAATGCATGCATTTCCTGTAGCGAGCCACACTTATTGGCATTTTATACTTACACGAGAAGTGCATGCACTAAGGAATATTTGCTTGTGGCGATATAGATGACCTATATACAATCAATCTAGTAGAACCAGGTTGCACCTTGACAAATTAATAATTTAATAAAAAAACTCTTGCAAAATGCAGAAGCTCTGTGCAGTAGTTTCAACTTGTGTATGATATGAAGGTTTTGGCTCGTGTGAAAAGCATCAATCAAAATTTCAGAGGGAGAGTTCAAACACTTTGGAAGACTTTATTTCCATCATTTCTTTGAGAGACTAAATTTTGCATGTACTTTAGGTATTTCAGGCATGGTATTTTTCCTAAGTGTGTTTGAAAAAAGCAAAAATAGTTACAAAGAGGAGCTACAATGAAACTTTAATCATCTAGTTTCAAAAATTCCCAGCTTGTTTCTCAAATATTTAAAAATTGAATTGATTTATGCACACATGAATAATATCTAAGGAAGGGCATTTATTAAACAAAATGTATATATTTTTTGCAAGTAAGTATCCTAGGAAGAAGTATCCTTGAGAAGTGGAAGTGAATAGATAGCTACAGAAAGTCAGGGTAATTGGTGAGAAACAATGTTTATAGTTTATAATTGAGTATGGAGATATCCTAATTGCAGGAAAAAAAATCCTTGTCATTTGAAGTTTGCAGGTATTAATCAAATCTACTGACAGAATGAGGGGTGGCGTTGGAGGGAGGGAGGAAGTGGGTGTGTGTGTGAGGGGGAGGGGGTAGTTCCCAAAACACTCCTCTAGCAATACCATGTTGCAGATGAATCGGTATGAAGGCTTGTTCACATATACTACGGCAAACTGTGATTGGGTGGATGCGTTAGGTTAAACCATACTTTAGCGTACTGCTCTGTACATTTTTTAAATCTCATAGCACACAGGGTATGTGAGGATGTAATGACAAATGTCGTGCACAGCTACCTTTTCCATCTTTGCTTGCCATTTATTCAGTAGGCCTATAAAAAAAACGCCATGATTTAATACAGCATATGAGAACAAAGCCCTAAAGAGCAGGCTCTACACATATACGCATAGAATTGAACATCCTGAGCAGTGAGTAAATGGTCAGTGTTTTAATGTCTTCTGAAATACAAGACTATCCAAGCCAGCTAGCTCTCCAGTAATCCCAGGTCAACTGAATGAAGGTGTGGAGAATGGGTTTGATTTATTGGGCTGTCACTGCTAATCAAGAATTTTAATGGAGAAACGAGCTGTGATCCTAACGAGCTGGGATCCTAACGAGCTGGGATCCTAACGAGCAAAGACTTGGAAGTGTGACACCTTGATTACCAGTGGTTTAGATGGACTGTTAAAGGATGCAAAATTGTTTCATGACCTGACATCTTCATTGAAAAATGTGGTAAATGCCGGCCAGAAAAGTTAAACCTGCTACAGTGACACAAGAACTGCAAGAATTGTAACGGAGAAACTGAGCCATGATCCAAGCGACAAGTATACCATATTAGAAGTGTTAGACATGCACTTGGTTACTGGTGAATTCGAATGTTAAGTTATGAGAAATTGGTTTCTTTTTTTTAGAACTGCATCAAAACAATGTGATAAATGCTAAAATAAGAATTGCTGTACCAATCAAAGTATGAATATATGCCTCTGTCCTTGACAACCTGCTAGAATGGTCTTTCAAAACTGACCTGGATATATCAGTCAAAATCATCCACCCTTGCAATAATCTTCGCTTATTACCAGGGAAGAGAATCTCAGGTTAATTTTTAAAAATTGAAAATCTAGGATATTGCAGTATAATTGATGCATATCAACGTGAATAGAATTAGGATACAATCTATTCTTATTGAGGTTACGTGTGGACTGATATTGAAAGAGGTACGTGTATTAGAGCTACAGTGCGTCCCAGAAAAAACGAAACCGAGAATTATTGATGTTTTATCATAACTTAATCACAATTACAAATGCACCTGTTTACAGCCAGAAGGGCATTAACTTTGATGTTTAAATATTGAAGTGAATGCCTTTTTGGCTCTCAGCTGATGATATACTGAACTTTTTATCAACGGGTGGTTTAATATTTGAGTACAGGGCTTGCCCGGATTTGTTCGCTCATGATACATTCTCAGTCGGGTATAGGGATACCCAAATTTGATTAACTGTTCGAGAAGATATTCTTAAACTTATTGGTTGGTCGCTATAACAGTTTGTGGTCCTATATGCTCCAGCAACCATGTTGCTTGGTAGGACAAACATTATGGATTGCCCTACCTAGCAACACATAATGTATGCAATTGGCATTCTGACTACCGGTATTGAAATTCACTTATTTGTAACAGGTGAATGAAATCATTTGCAATGAGGCGCTTAACAAAGATTTATGCATAAAATTTGATTACATTATGAAAATGGCCTATTGCTCTGCAGGCCATGTCATACAACAACTGAGTTTAAAATTCAACCATGGACCAAACACTACCCTATCCTCACTCTAAACCTAAGCCAAGACCATTTTGCAAACCCTAACCCTACATGTATATCTTTGACATATAATATACAAAAGATCCTAGAGCAAATGTTGCCAGTTTGAAAGCTAATGGATATATGCTCTGAAAAGTGGGTGATTATGATTATAACTAAGTATTGGAAAATCATTGTCTGGCATAACTTGGAGTTTCTACTTTACCCCAAATTTATTGTATAAATGATTCTGAAATACTCTCTTTGTAAATTCTGTTAAATAATCTCTAGTCATGAAAACTGTGTATGTGTGATACATGAGACAGCAAGTGCTACATGTAGTTTAGCTCGAAAATAATATTTGACTTCACCTCTGCAATAATACCCTTTGTTGATATATTATTTTCCCTCAGGGCGATGCGCTTCAATACCAAATATTATCCCTTGATGGAAATATAATTCCTTTGGCAGTCTGACAAGTGTTTCATTACACTGCTCTGTACCGAATAACTGCTTATTAATAGCCAGCAGGCTTACTCAATTTGATCTGGTTAGAACTACAATGGCATTAACTCTTATACTTTAACACAGAGTTAAGACCCTTATTGCTCTGAACAGACAATATTCAATAGCATTCACTCGTTGAGGCAAGAATTCTCACATTGCTTGTGACACGAATGTACAGTCTGATGCCATGGCAACCCTATTATAATGTTTTCACTTTATACAAACCTAATGTTATGAAAACCAATCCATAGATACGTGCGTGTGAATGAAGTCAATACATTGTTGTTCCTTCTACAAAACTGGAGCTTTTATTTTTTTAAAGCATTCCTGTATTAATGTTAGACATTCATCAAGGAAAGGGTAATATTTTTTACATTATGTGTGCATTCGCAAATATATTGATTAGTTTGTAATCAATGGATATTGTGCCATTAAAAAATCAATTTCAACTCAAGGTAAATTTTAGTTACATATGACTCAATATCAGTCACAAAGTTTGTTATTTCCTGATTTTAAAGGATACAGTAGTTATCATGGGAGGGAGGTTACAGATTCAAAACTGTACTGGAATATGGTTTTGAAATATTGAATTCCAATCATAAATATCTTGATAATCATATAGGCGATTTGCATGTAAAATTTGTAGGATTCCTGACTGACCTAAAGGTTTATAATTATGATTGCGGCATGAGATAAATCATTGATTTTATTTTGGATCTGAGGCTAAGTTACCCCTTCCCTTTAAAGTATTTGCCTATCTCATGAAAGAGGTTGTTATGAATGAAAGATGATTCATTTTGTTAAATTTAGCAAGAATTGCTTGTCAGTAGAAAAAAAACCTAAGTGATATCTGAGTACAACAGGATTTAATTTAGATATTAATGCTTTAAAGATATATCACAACCTTACAAGAAATAGATATCATCAAAATAAAGTGAACTGCACAAAATGCCCCGTATTTTTAACATGATAAAAAAAAAGATTTTTTACAGATAATAAACAAATATTTGGAAAAAGTAAACAAATACAAATGCCCAAAACAAACAAACAGACAAAAATTGCATGAAACCAGACTACATTTCCCATTAAGTATGGATGGATGTATGTTACAAATGATAATGAATTTAAGGCTAATTCGTAAAAAGAGGTATATGAAAAGGAGTTCTGGTACTAAAGACTATATGTATAACAAGGAAAATTGCTTTAAAAAAAAAAAAACAGAGTTGAGATATCATTTTGAACGTTATTTTCTTCCAGATCAGAGCCGCAAACCTTGATGTCATTGGGTTCCAGGAGGTGAGGGCAGACGAAGACCCCAGCCTCCCCAATCGGCGACGTCGAACCCAGGTCGATGAACTCCAGGAGCTGTTGCTACCCGAGTACAAGTGGTCTACCTTCCAGCTGGGTCATGACATGCATTCACCAAGAGATGGCGCCCTTCAAGAATGGCAGCATGAAGGTATGATCCTGGCATAGTTGTGTTTTGTGTGGCAGTGGAATAAGTCTTTTGTAAGGGTTGATTGATGTGAAGGATAAGGAATTACCAAAGGTAATCAGGCAATCATGTTAATAAATAAATAAATAAAACAAAAATTCCATATCTAAGGTAGAGCTTGAAACTGTTAATGATGTTGCAAAATGTTAACAAAATTTATGTGACAAGCATTCTGTGAATGATTTTGCTGGATGTTAATTAAAACAATGGCATTTGGCATTTGTGCTGCACTAAATGATTAATCAATGCCTAAAGTTTGAATGTTTATAGACAATTCCCCAAAAAAGAATTTTGCATTTGATCTGTTCGTAAATTATGTAAATCTATGACTTTGAATAGATCGGGTTTTTCTTTATTATGATACAAGCAACAATACTATATTTAGGTAAATATGATTCCTTTAGTTCTAGATTTTTATTTTCATTAATAATGTCTTTCATTATATTATGGAATAACATACATGCCATCAATTCTTTGATTAAATATGCATCAACTGTAGATGGCAGCATTGAAGACAAAGGGTAAAATCTCACTCAGTTGTTGAATACATAAAAAAGAGGCAGCTTTGAAAATTTCTTTGGATTGTAGAATTAGAACAATTTCAAAGTTATCCATATTTTAATTTTTGCTAACATAATCATCTGAATCAAGATATTTGATTTATGACTTGAATGTCTGTGACCTTTTATTATTAACAGGTGATTGATCCCGATCAATTTTAACTTGATATTAATTGCAACTCTCTTTTTGCGAGATCGGAGTTTGTAATTTTTAATTGGAGGACTTGCGATCAATAAAGTGCCCTATAGATTGATAAAATGTTCTGCCACCCTTTGGTAGTTCCTCACAGGTTAAAATTCTTTGACTCACAACATAATTTCATGTCTATTGAGAGCCAGAAGGGCGTCAACTCATGTATGATTTTAGACAAACTTTATGCCCTTCAAGTTCTAAACAGACAATACATATATATATATATATATATATACTTCTTGCAAACCTGACGCATCAATTAAGAACCCATCCCCAATCCTCACCACGGTACTGTTTAGTCTGTAAATTTGCATTGTTCCCAGCACAGGTCTAGCCCTTCTCAGCAGGCATCCCATACTCAAGTCTCAGAAACAGGACCTGTCCCACCACTCTAGGACCGACAAGATCAAGAGGAAGGTCCTTCATGTCACCCTGATGGTCCGTGGGTACGAGGTTGTCGTCTCTGTGGTCCACTTCTCGTACGACAAGTGGCAGCAGTGTAACAATGTGGCGGAGATCATGGAGTATATCCGAGGTAAGTGGTTACTTCATGAAAACACAGAGAACATTTGATGGTTAATGGGTTTGAGGTTGTCATCTCTGTGGTACACCTTTCTTACGACAAGTGGCAGCAGTGTAACAATGTGGCAGAGATCATGGAGTATATCCGAGGTAAGTGGTTACTTCATGAAAACACAGTGAACATTTGATGGTTAATGGGTTTGAGGTTGTCGTTCTGTGGTACACCTCTCATTTGACAAGTGGCAGCAGTGTAACAATGTGGCGGAGATTATGGAGTATATCCGGGGTAAGTGGATTCTTCATGAAAAAATCATGACCCCCCCAAAAAAAATATAGATATATCAAGAGTAAGACAAGCCTAAATTCCTGTTGAAGCCTAGAAACATTCATACTCTTTTCACACTGGTTTTGCTTAACCCCGTACTTTGCTTAGCCCCGTACTATCCTTAACCCCGGACTATTTTTTTGGCTTTTCACACTCGCTGTTTTTAGTCCCGTACTAGCGCCTATTCCGGAATAAGAAAATTCCCGCTGTTCTCACTGCATTTCGTTAACCCCGGATATCGTGTATGTTATGATTGGACATACTTCGCATCTGGCCAGCTGCGATACGCTCCATTGCGTAGTAACAGACTATTTTTCGTTTCTGTTCTCATTCATTTGCTTAGCACCGCAATTGCGGGGTTAGCAGGAGTTAGCACCACAATTGCGGAGTTAGCCCTGCTATTTTGCAGGGTTAGTTAACCCCGTACTATAGGTGGGGTTAGCCAACTTTAGCCCACTTTGGTAAAAACCAGTCTGAACAGAAAGTGGAATAGGCTTAACCCCGTACTATAGGTGGGGCTAAGACCCCCCCTTAACCCCACCTATAGTACGGGGTTAAGCAAAATATTGCCAGTGTGAAAACAGTATAAGTGGCCAATTGGTCTGTGGGTGTGTGGTGTAGTATAATAAATCCTCTTTTGTTCTTGTTCTTCTTTTTCTTCTTCTTCTTCTTTTTCTTCTTTTTCTTCTTCTTTTTCTTCTTCTTCTTCTTCCTTTTTTTCTTCTTCTTTCCTTCTTCTTCTTTTTTCTTCTTCTTTTTTCTTCTTCTTTTTTCTTCTTCTTCTTTCCTTCTTCTTTTTTTTCTTCTTCTTTTTCCTCTTCTTTTTCCTCTTCTCTTCCTTTTTTTCTTCTTCTTCTCCTTCTGCTCCCTCTTCTTCTTCTTCTTTTTTTTCCTTCTTCTCCTTCTGCTCCCCCTCTTTCCACCCCTCTCTATCTCTTCTTCTTCTTCTTCTTCTTCTTCTTCTTCTTCTTCTTCTTCTTCTTCTCCTTTTGCTTTTCCTCTTTCCACCCCTCTCTATCTCTCCTTCTTCTTCTTTTTCTTTCTCTTCTTCTTCTTGTTCTTCTTCTTCTTGTTCTTCTTGTCCTTCTTCTTCTTCTTCTTCTTCTTCTTCTTCTTCTTCTTCTTCTTCTTCTTCTTCTTCTTCTTCTTCTTCTTCTTCTTCTTCTTCTTCTTCTTCTTCTTCTTCTTCTTCTTCTTCTTCTTCTTCTTCTTCTTCTTCTTCCTCTCCTCCTCCTCCTCGTCCTCCTCCTCCTCCTCCTCCTCCTCCTCCTCCCTCCTCCTCCTCCTCCTCCTCCTCCTCCTCCTCTTCCTCTTCTTCTTCACCTTTCTCTTCAAACCCAGATCTGGTTATATTTTTGATGGTCGTGTTCCCTTCTATCATTCAAACATTCTCAAAGGTCATAAAGTTTTCATTTCTTACTTTCCCTTTATCATTTTGCTTTTCCACTATCATTTTGCTTTTTAGCTTTCGTATCTTTTTTTCTGCTAAGATGTTATAATTTTAGGACTGCATACTTCAGATATAAACAAGGGCTTCCTGTAAACTGAAATGTCTCCCTCTAATGGCAAAGGCAACAAGTATTGCTCCTTCTCTATACTGACCTGTCATTCACTATAATAGCCATGCTTGCAATACTCTGACAAATCATACTTTTGATGGAGTTAACATTAAATTGGAAGTCACAAGGGGGAAGGGGGGGGGGGGCAGGACAGGTCAATGTTGGTGCTCTAGTTGACGTCAGTTGTTTGAAAGGGGGTCATGAAATTCATGTACCTCAAATTCATCAATTTGTCTTCCGGCCACTCCTCTATCACCCAGAGCCCCTGACAAATCTCTGTCACACTATCTTATGTCATGTGACAAGTATAACATCTTTACTCCTACGCATATCACTAAATAGTTCTATCATTCTGATTTGTAAAACACTTCCATCCTCTGCTTCTTCTGTTTACCTACCCCGTGCACTATCCGGCTTTTTCCCTGTTGTTTTCTTGTCCATGCCAGGGGAATGATTTAAACTAATAATAATTCAGTCAAAGACTCTCATACTGCAAATTAAAATTCTATTGTAATCTAAATTGGCTCAAAATTATGTGGAATATGTATCATTGTATTGATTTAGATTTATTACCTATATGTACATTGTTTTTTGGGGGCAGGGGGGAAGTTTCTCAGTTATTTGTTAAAACACAATTAAGTTTTAATGACTGATGATATTAAGAATCAATAAACTCTCAATTCTAGTAAAATAAACTCTTTTGATAGATGCCATGAAGTCAGAAACCTTTCTTATTGCTCCCTTCAGATATAAAAAAAAAAGGTCAAACGTTCAGTTACAGAAGTTTCTCAGTTATTGTAAAAATCACAATTAAGCTTTAATGATTGCGAAGATATTTTGAATTAATAACCCATTTCAATTCAAGTAAAAAAAAAAAAAACTCTTTTAATAGATGCCATGAGGTCAGAAACCTTTCCTATAGCTCCCTTCAAAAAAATTGTCAGATACAGTAATATATTCCTCTCCCCCATCATTATCAGCATTTGTTGCAAATCCCGTTTATCTTGTGTCCTTAATGGTCCATTAGTTAGGCAAACTGAGGCAAAGGAGGAAAAGCAAAGTCCCTGTTATCACTCCTATTTCCTCCTCATGATGCATCAGCTCGAGTTTGCCAGATAGCCCGTTATTTTAACGATCCCGATCGCAACTTAACCAGTTAATTTGTGTCTTCATCAGCTCGCAGTTGCTATTAGCGGGATATTTGGTAGAGAAAATATCGCTTTCCAATATTGTTTCCAAAATATCCCATTATTTGGGAAATAGTGGGCTACTTTGCGCCCGTCCGAGCTAGTTTGTGATAAGCGTATCGGTCTGGTGAAAACGCAATTTTAAGCTTCAGGATAATATCCCGATTCCGAAAAATAGCGGGTTATTTGCAAACTTGAGATGATGACGACAGGCCTCATGAACTTCTTCAACTGCATCATACCTTTATTCCCGACATCAAAACCACTCTGTAATTTATGATCCTCGTTAACGGCAGCTTGTGGGCTACTTGCTTCCAAATGTCAGGCACTCATAGGGCTTTAAAAGACAGAAATACCGGCGTTGAATTTGTCAAGCTTTGCTTGCAGATTCGACCAGACCGGCTCGTCGTTTATCCCCTTTGTCTAAATATATACGTGAGGAATTACTCTGATATACGGTGAGGAATTATCACTTGTGATCTGAGACGTCAGAACCCATCTTCTCTAATGGTTGACAAAGTCCATATGGCCTTTGGTGTAGTCACCCTGTTCTTTTCTTTTCTTTTGAGTTTGGAGCGGAAACCATTTCTGTAAATTGTACCATTTCTAAGAAAATTCATTTGATAAGTGTGTCTGAAATAACTGGATAAGGTAGTTTTTCCATGTACAAATTATTGTTAGGCAGTGCTCTTTTCTGGAAGTGTGAAAATGTTGAATAACAGCTGAGGAGAAACTTTTGCCATGTCCTGGGAAGAGGGGGATTTGACCTAGCTTCCGATGCAACCTTCAAATGACCTTCAAAAGAGTATTAATACCATAAACTAAGAAAGGATGTACTTTCCTATATTTATACTGAAGGGTTTTATTGTACAGATCATAAATGACAGACCTCTCTTAACAATGCATACTTTCTGCCTTAAACATTATGAGGAGGATGTAACTGTTAGTCTGGCTAAATGTTTAATTTCTAAATTGGAGATTCATGAATGTCTCTCAAGTAATCGCATATTTGATGTCTTTTTACCTCACATAGCACTTTGGGAATATTACAGACTAGCAATTTTTTTTTTTTTTTTTTGGGGGGGGGGGGGGAGGGTGTTAACTTCCATATGACCTTGAAGGAAAGAATGGCTAGTGCCAAAGAAACTCATTATTGTGTATTCAAGTTTTCTGTAGAGGCATTAGAAAGAGGCTTTGTGAGTTCCTGCCCATGCATTTATGCATCGCCATATTAAAATGGACAAAATGACTTTTACCCTATGGGAATGCATTCCAAGAATTCTTCAATTTCAAATCTCTCTCTGATATATTGGAATTGGACATTAGATTTAAAGAGAAGGTTGAGTTCTGGGAAGAGGTGAAAAATAATTTGTGAGTGTATCATTGTTATTATGCAAGTGTGGAAGAACATTAGATAAAGCATGTTCCCTGAAAAGCATGGCTCTTCAAATGCCATCATATTCTAAATACGTCATTTAACATCGTACATATCGGGATGGATGTTTACGCCACGTGTTGGTGTAGTTCCATATACATCTTTGTGTGTACAGTGTTTGTAACTTTACCAAGACTTGGCCAAATTTCATATCTTTTAGATGATTCCACAACCTTGCAATACACACAAATACTTATATGCTAGATGATCAACCTTTTCTGGTCGATTCCACACCATTTCTTTCACAATGCAATCGCATGACCAGAACTCACATTTATCTTTAAGTTCAGTGGACTGAGGTGGATTCAAGAGTATGATGACTCTATAAGGAAAATCAAACTTGTGAAGAAAGTAAGGCGTCACTGAGAGAAACATACATGGAGATTTAGGGGAAAAACAAGATAATATTTGTGGCTCTCAAAGAAGAATATTTCCTTGCTTCACAAGAGTGACGTACTGTAAGCTTCAGAAGATCAGAAAATGAATTATAATTCTCTTTTAACTTAT